TCAGCAGACAGACACAGCCCTGGCTGTGCCAGCTCCAACCTGTGTACGCTGATGCTCTCACAGAGCACAGAGCGGCAACGCACAGAACTTCCCAATTCCATCCGCTCTGTTCCATATTTAGCATGATTATTCGCATAGCTTGAAGGAAGCTGCCAAGTTTTAAGTGCTGTGTATATTTTCCTGCCCAGAGCACAGACAGCTTGTCTCCCTGAACGGGAGCATGACCAATCCCACTCGTGAAGCCATAAACCCTTACTTCACTGGGGCATGATCCACATGGTAGCTTCATTAAATACCAATTAAGAGTTTTATGGCCCTCAAACTAGCTCTGACACAGGTTGGAGTTCTGCTAATCTGCTTGGGAGAACCCGAACTCGGAGTCCGTAGTACACTCTAGCGAGCTGGAGAGCAAAGTCCTGTGACCAGAGAAACCAGTGAGAGAGATCTGTTGGCAAACGCTTGGGACAGCTCACCCCGAGTGACCCGACGGCTCTCCATTTAAGGTGGCTGGAAATCAAAACGTGTCTCGCGTCAGAGGCGGCTCCTGACAAGAGGAAAGCTCTCGGGATGAGCACGACCCATCCCCTCTCCCCTCAGAGGGTTTTCTCGGGTCTCGGCAGAGAGGCTGAGAACTCTGACAACCTCCTCAGGCTGGGGTAGCACAAAATCTACTAAGAAAACGCATTTTAAACTAAGGGATGGCAGCAGAGAAGAGCTAAATGTTTAGCAGGCGGGCTGCAGTTTAGATACTTCTGGTTTGTATTTTGTTAGCTCAAAAGTCATTTCATAGTGACCACACACTTCCCAGTAACCGTACTCCGGAACGGCTGCAAAACGCACTCCTTCCCACCTAACAGGATCCCCTACACATCTTTGTTAAGCTCACCTAAACACTCTTCTTGTGTTGGGTTTTTTTTTTGTAGTTGTAGGTTTGAGTTTCTATCTAAAATAAAAGGCCTCACTAATTTCCCCTGTTTCTTGCAGAATAAATACCATTCCGGGCAGAAGGAGCACTGCTGTCATCACACACAAAGCCTGCACGAGGCAGTAATTTCAAATTAATTTCCTGTTCACAGGAAAACGGTGAGCAGCGCCAGCGATTACCACATGGATTGCTCACGACGAGGAAGATCTACATAACCACATTTTTTCATCTTTAAACTTACCGATGGGTACAAATGGCGTCTCTTTAAATTTTCTTAACAGCTTCGATGTCTGGCTGGTGTCAGTCTCATACTCAGAGAAAACGGATTCCTGACCGGATGACATGGTGGCTGCAAAGACAAAGAGTCTCTCTCCAGGTTTGAGAAACACCAAGTTAAGAGAACTTTTCAAAAAAGAAAATCCCTTGCGTATTCCACCAGTCACGAATGGCCAAGCAGTCACAAGCACGGGAGCTGGCCTCGAGCTGATGAGCTACATACAGGTGATTTAATTCAAGTGAAGTCTTGGGAAGAGAGATCATTGCATACTAGAATGGGTAAGGACAGGGGAAAAAAAAAAAAAAGAAAGAAAAGAAAAGAAAGCAGCGAAGCCACAAGTTTCTGCCATCCCTTTTCACACCATTATGGATCCCAGCAGCCGCTGAAAGCTTTGGTCACTGCGTTTCCTTTTAGGACTTCCATCCTCCACCACGCCGCTTCGCTTTCCCAGGCTACTCCTTACTAGCAGCTCTGACCTCAAAAGCTCATTCCTCCTCTTTTGCTCCCTGCCAAGAACGGCAACCCAAGCACTCAGGGGGGAAAGGCCAGCCCCACCTGGCAGCTCGTTGCTCACTACCATGGCCCATCCCGCCCCCCTCGCCGCTCCAGCGGAGTTTCAAACTCCTCCTGGAGCACACGAGGGGGTAAAATGGCAGCTGCTGAGGAGCTGGAGTGAGTCCTGAAGCCCTGATAAGCCCAGACCGGTGCAGGGACGCATCAGGAAGGTCAGCGGAGTTTCTGTTGCAGCACAGGTGATTTCTCACCTGCCTCCAAGGAAAAGAAAAAAGCAGTGGCGGCAGTGAGAAGGGCTGAGCCATCATCACCCAGCCGGTGGGACCATCCGCCAAAACTCGCCAGCGTGTCGTGCTGTCCCCATCCCAGGTGATGCCAAGACCCGTTCCTTCTTCAGTGCCCGGCATAAGCGTCGTTCTTCAATTAGTGCCTATCTCTGCTACCACAATTAGCTCAGCAACATCACAAAGGGCTCAGCTAGATAAACGTCTTACCGGCATTGTTCAACACGCTCAGCGGCAAAACACAACTCGGCCTCACAGGGAAGCACTCCAAGCTCTCCAAATCAGCCAACAGGAATTTAATTTAAGCATGGGCTAGCAAACACGTGCAGAAGATACATTTCAAAGGTGGCCGTATTCCCTGGTTACGCAGCGTTCCGCACACATCCATTTCAGCAGGCTGTTTTTTACACTAAAAACCGTTTCCTCCGCCGTCCGAAGGACCCGGTCTCTCTGCGCCTGCTACGGTTACCCTTACGTGCTAAGCGTAAATTATATTTCAGCCTGACTCATTCGGAGAGGGAAACACGGGAGCACTCAGGAGAGGTGAGACAGCCAGAGGGGAGATTTACACGAGAGAAGGATATTGAGAAGTGAATCGGTTTGTCCACGGGTGGAGGTTTCCGCGACCTTCAGCTCACCAGAGGCCATGGGGCGGAGGAAGCCGGGTGAAACCCAGGCCCTGCCTGCCCTGACCTTGCCGCCACCCGCAGCAGGGAGCCGCGGGGCCGGCCGCCCCCGGGGGACAGCCCCGACACGGGTGGAAGGCGACGGGTGGGAAAATCACAGCTCTCAGCGCTCCTCCCGCCCAGGAGGCGGCCCGGGGAGGGGGGGGGACCACCCGCCCCGCCCCGGGCCC